GTCAATATTCTCAACATAAAATGGTTTTTTGCTTCAGTATGATTCCATGTAAGTAAACTGTTGACGCTGTCTTATTTGCACCGCTTAATGATAGTTTTGTTGCAGCAGTGGTCGACCAATTCTGATTAAAATTTTTTGGGGTACTGAGGCTCACAATGCTGGTCAACCTGTCGGCTTTGAAGTCTTGTAAGAAACTTAATGTTGTAAAATTCTGTGACATTTGTTGCTGAATAAAATTGAGATTTGTTATAATAACACATATATAATCCTGCATTATATTTAAGTATATATCATGCGAATATGTTAGGTTTAAATATTTATCAGTATGTTGCGTATGTGTTTCGTATATACCACAATAATTCTGTAACAATTACTAACTTATTTACGCGACGAATTTTTAATTTCAAACTATATTCAGCACATCAACAAATGAATTTTGTTTGTTTCAAATTGACATAGAAAATTCGGAAGTGGCAGTAGAAAGCGGTAGAAAAAAGAGCAATTGATGGCAAATAGTGGTAAATGACAGATAATTTTATCAATTTTTTTTTGACGTGCTTTCATGCTTCAAAGTATGCTGTCATACAATTTTGGTTTCCTTTGTTTGTATCACTTGCTGCTACTTGCATTCAGATTCATTTAGATTTGAATCATTCAATACTGGAAAAATGTATGGTACTTTATAATTTTGCTTAACATACATGTTTTTATAGCCATCTGCACTAATGCTCGCGTGGTGGTTCTTCATGTCTAACCATCAGTATTTTCGTCAAAAATACACACAATTAAACTAAGTAAGTAACAGTAACAAAAAAAAAAAAACATGCAAATAATAAAAAGAAATGATTAAAATTGAACGTTAATATGGAGACATGCTTTAAAAAATTAAAAAAAGAAAGGAATAAAAAGTGAAAAGAGAATTAAGATTTAGTCAACAAGAGGCATGAAATGAGCGAAGTTTACAAAAAATGTAAAAGAAATAGATTTCTTAAAATGACAAATATAATAAACAAATGCAAAATGGTATGAAAATAAAATTTTTTTCAAGAAAAACATGCAAAAGTGAAATCAGTGATAAAAAGAAAGAAAAGGTGAGTTATTAATCAAGGAAGATATTAGTAGTGTTATTGTTTTAAAAAAAAAATAGCTAATTTAATAGAAAATTACGAAAAAAAAATCAAGTTATTGCAAAAAAATTTCGAAATTTCAAAAACAAAATCTTCAAAGAAATCAGAGTAAAAAACTTTAAGCATATAACCATGAGTAAAAACACACCTGTTGCAGTTAAAACTATCACAAAAAAACAAAAAGAAAAAAAAAAAAAGAAAGAGGTCAGAAATAAAAACGAGGACTAATGACACTGAAAGCTAAATAATCTATAAAAAACGAAAAACGAAATGTAGATAATAAATAGAACGGATTTCACAGACTGTTTTGTCACTAATAGCCAATATTTAGGTATAAATAATAAGGAAGAGAGGAAAAAAAAAAAACAACGAATGTTTTCGATCGATTGTTGTGCGATCTTTAATAATAATTTTAAGTAAATGAGAATATTTTTATTGTATAAATGTTTTGCTTACAGCTACAATTAAAAGGTCAATAAATCTTAAATATGTAAAATACAAAAATATCAATGTATAAGTTAGGGAACACCGAAACGTGCATGACATCAAAATCCACACCAAAAGCTCTCTCATTCAGTAATACTGCCTGTGAGTGATTTCACGATAAGTAGAACAAAGGAATTTTCTGTTTGATGGCATTAAAGCTGTTATAATGTCTCCAGTGATCAGTGCTTTACTTTTGTGATTATTTCCAGTGATCGCCAATGATCAGTGCTTTACTTTTCTGATTATTTCGAGTGATCGCCAATGATCAGTGCTTTACTTTTGTGATTATTTCCAGTGATCACCGATGGTCACTTCTTTACCTTTGTAATTAAAGTAATAATCGCATATTCTTTTTGATTATTTCGTCACTTTTACTGTACGGTCAAGAAGGACAATTTTTTCAGATAAATTTAGCAAAATGCTAAGTTAATTTCATTAGATTAATTTAAATTAAATCTCACGAAATTCTTTGGGTAATTTTTATTAGTTTTTACACTTTGTGCAGTTTGTGTAATTTTTGCCAACTTCTTCATGCCGAATGACAAAGAGATTTGAAGTTAAAATCAGGATAGTGAAGGGATGGATAAATGAAAAATGATAATTAATTGGCATTAACCACCGGCAGTTCGATATAATTTTAATGTACAATTCATATTTGTGTCCTTCAATCTAATATATTCGAATGATTTGCATATTTTATAGAAATTTTCTATTTTTAGTTTTTATGACGTTAGCTAATAAACTTATTGGATAAGTTGGATAATTCACTCAATAATTTGGAAAGCATAATTATATTATATTTTGATAGAAATAAAAATTTGTATCAAAAAAATAAGAATTATTAATATATGATCATTAACAGACAAATTGTTTCATATGAAACAATAAAATTATCAAAATTTGCTGTAGAAAATCATCAGAACACTAAAAAGAAAAATTTAACTATGCTATTCATCAATTCTGGGACTTTTATTTTTTTGCTGAAAAAGTTAAGAAAAAAATGTTTTTTTTTTTTCGTATATTTATTATTATTATTTTATTGATCTGCATAGTAATGCAAATAATTCCGTGTTTGTTTGTTTGTTTCTTCAGAGCATTACAATTTGTGCTATTTAAACTTATACTTTAGAATCTGTAGTAATGAGTAAAAATTGCGAGATATTACAGCATCATTTTAATATATACGCAGAAATGCACTCCAATTATCAAATAGATTAATTACGACGAAATAAATTATTCCCATTAAGTACCATTAATTAATTAGATTATTTTATGGAAAAATAAATTAATGGAAAAAGAAAGATTTCAAATAAAAAAAATTAAAATGAGATCAAATCAAAATAAATGCCAAAAAAATTATTCACTGGTAATTTCTTAATTCTTTTAGTAATCCTGCATTGTTCTATATGATTCATAGCATAATACACTTACCAGTATGGAATTTAGCTAAAAGTACTAGACTGAATCTATAGATGCTCTGAATCTAAAAGATGGCTCTGAAGTGACTTTTTTTGTGACACTTGCGAGATTTACAATTCTTCCCTGAATTAATCCATTTGTTAATTAGAGGTTCATTTACGTTCATTTACATTAATATCAAATTAATATTATAACATTAGTTAATCTAGCGATTGTATTTTACAGCTTCCACTTATCATTACGTTTATACAAACTCTGAATTATATATTTTAAGAGTAGCGCAAGTTACTGTGGCACTTGTTATTATATATTAATCAGCCGTTGACTCAAATTGCAAATTTTTTTAAAAAAAAAAAAATAGCTGTAATAATAATAATGAAATTATTACAACAATAATATATTATAATAGTTATTATGTGCAGATATTATCTACTGAAACATTATTATCTTTTTTCTTGTTTCTTGTATTCTTAACTAATAATAATATGTTGTTAACTTAGAGTGTTTTTTTGTCAAATTTGTAATATCTCGAATATATCGAACTAAGATCGTTATTTCAGTAATAAATAATTTGGTAAAGCACTTTTAGTTAAGTATTTTTTATTCATTTCAGTATAGCACTAGTAAATCTCTTTTGGCTAAATTCGAGAATCATTTATGATAGTTGCAACAATAATCAACGAAACATGGATGAATTTGCCGAAAACCCTGTTGCAAGTTCATTGTTGGATACTGCCAAGTTCTTTCAGATGATGAAAGGACTGTGCTAAATAGATTTTTAAAGAAAGGATAAACCAATGAAACGATACTATCATGGAAGTAAGATGGTTACTGCTGAATAAAATTGAAATTTGTTATTGTCAATATTCTCAACATAAAATGGTTTTTGCTTCAGTACGATTGATTTCAATTTCCATTTTGCAATCATTCAAATAACTGAGAAAGTGGATCATTTCAAGCCTATTTCAGCTATTTTTCAATAGTACCTGGCACATATATCAAATGTAAGTTACCTTTATATACATTCCAACATTTATATACTTCTCTATGCATTCCCTTGTAGTAAGGGAGACATGTATTTTTTTTTTTTTTTTTTTAAACAGCAAAGTTGCTATGAATTTTGTCCATTGTAATCTTTAGTGGAAATAAAAAAAATTATTGTTAATTTTTTGTTGAATTGTCTCTATTAAAACATGGAATCATTGTTTGACATGTAAATCCTTTTATTCTATTCAAAGCATGATAAAATTATTAAATAAATGGAAATGATTTCTGGTGATAACCTGCATAATTTCATATAAATTAACTGATAAGTGGAGTTTTTTGTGAAAAAATTTTCAAATTCGTTTTTTATCGCTTTCGGAATCTCGTAACCTTTTCGCTTGAATTCTTAAACAATTTAAAAAAGAATTTAGGAATGGGAAGTTCTGCATTTATTCTCGAAATTATTTGATTTTTATTTCTAGCATATTTTTTTTAATTATAGCATATTTAGACAAAATAAGGATTAGTTAGCTAAAAAGAGGAACGAAATTGATTTTAAATTCACTGCATATTTAGTAAGTATTTTTCTACAAAACAACTGATGGTGTGGTAATGGAATTCATAAAATATAATTTATCAGTGCTTTGCTGTTAGACTGAAAAATAGAAACGTCAGAGTTTATCAGTTTAAATTATCACTCATTAAAATATATGTTATCACAATTTCTTCTTTCATTAAGGAATCCGGCAACAATGACAAATGCACAATTCTCATTTTTTACGTCACCATTACTGCTCTACGTTCTTAGCACATTCATATTATTAGCAGCACCTCAGAGATCAATTCCGGTAATTTTTATTTTTATATTGTTACAATTTGGTTCTAAATGAAAAAATATTTTAAAAAAGTAGGAATTCACTGAAAATTTTTTATGCATTTGATGACGAATTGGGCGAAAACGATGAAATTCCCTATGAAGAAAACATGGATGAATTTGCTGAAAATATTGAACTTATTCGAGATAGTATCATTTCTATTGAAAGTTCATCGTGGTATACCATCACAGATGATGAAAGAGCTGTACTAATCGGACTTTTGGAGTTAGGATACATTAATGAAACAATGCTACCATGGAAGTAAGTTTCTGTAACGGTTGTTGTCGAATAAAATTGAAATTTGTTATTGTCAACATAAAACGATTTTTGCTTCACTGCGATTCCATGTAAGTAAACTGTTGACGCTGTCTTATTTGCACTGCTTAATGATACTTTTGTTGCAGCAGTGGTCGACCACTTCTGATTAAAGTTTATTGGATGACTGGGGCTCACAATGTTGCTCAACTTCTCGGCTTTGAAATCTTACATGAAACTTAATGTTGTAAAATTCTGTGACATTTTGTTGCTGAATAAAATTAAGATTTGTTATAATAACACATATATAATCTTACATTATATTTAAGTTTATATCATGCGCATATGTTAGGTTTAAATATTTATCAGTATGTTGTGTATGTGTTTTTTTTTTTTTTTTTTTTTTTAATGTCGAACTATGTTCTGCATATCAAAAAATGAATTATGTTTGTTTCAAAATGACATAGAAAATTGCATAAAGTTGTTGGAAAGATTTCTAGTGCATTTCTTGCATTCAAGAAAGAAATTTACCGTTTGAATAATTTTCTAGCTATCACTTTGATAAACAAAAAACATCGATCATCTTGTCTCCCATAATTTGCATTCTGAAATTCGTTCACGGTAATCAAAGTCGATAACAGTAACAATTAAAACATAAAACGTATTACAAAACCTTTTAAGTCGATTTAAATAATAAACCTTTGATTTCTTCCCAATCATGACAAGGACTGAAAGGCTTAATACTACTACTTTAGTCTTTTTTGATTTTTCAAACTCAAAGTTCAATAATCAAACCTTTAATTTAACAAAATGGTTAAATACGCCAACAAACTTAGCAGTTAGAATTTCAACAAGATAAATTTAATGATGATATCAGTAAAAACAACGAAGAATGCAAAAGCCGAATTCAATATTCCAACTAATGGACTCAACTCTAATAGATTTATACAAATGAATTTGTTATTTAGGATCGTCCATTTTATCAAGTGAAATGGCATAGTCCAGCAATGAGATTTTAAGAATTATCGCTTTTAGGTCACGCATACTGCTATAGAGCTTTATATTGACGAAAATTTAAAGCGATAAACGAATATAACATAAAAAGACTTTTAATGAAAGGAATTACTGTTTTTTTGTTTCCATTGGTGATATTAGCAGCAAAAAATCTAAGCATTAATATATCTTTTAAGGTAATAGAAATGAATGCAAATGATTATTCAGCTTAATATGTGTGTTCGTTTTTTCAGCTTATGATTTTGTTTACCTTTGCTAATCGATTTGATGCTAAAGAGACCTTAAATTGGTTGGAAAAGACAAAAAATATCATTTCAGTTGTACTTATTTTAAATCCTTTGTAAAAGTAAAAGAAGTTTTTTGTAAATAAATGAATTTCTTTCTATATTTGTGAAGGAAAATGCAAGATTGTATGCCGTCGCCATTCAGAGAATAGAAGGAACATTGATTTTAAATTATTGATTAATGGCAAATTTCATTTAGGTGAAATGTTCATTGTGTTATTCATGTAAACAAAAGGAATGAAACAGCAAAGTTAGATAGTAGAATGAGGAAAAATGAAAGAAAAGGAATTTGGGTTAGTTTAAAAATCGAGGAGAATTGTATTTAATTCAAATTAATTCAAAAAATCTAAGATTTTGCAACATTTTTTTTTTTTTTGTTTTCATTTCTTTTACTTCAAATATATTAGCTTATTTTGTAAAATAGAATGTAATTTCTTTTTCAACTTTCAATTACGGGCAGAAAAAAAAAATTTGATATAAGAAATACACTAACAATAAAAAGAAAAAATAAACGAAAAATCAAATATTGGTAGTTATAAAGCATGAAAGAATGAAACAAGGATGATTTCATTAAAAAAAAAGTTGATCTTAGAAATGAGACAAATATATCACTTGAAATTTAGAAAATATTAGGTTGATAAAAATTGGATAATTTTGGAAATAAGATGATTTCAATTTAGATCTCATAATATGTTTAAGATTTTATAACCTTTTTTGGCAACAAAAATGATCAGACCAGAAATGAGAGTATAATTTTGATGTAGCAAAAAAAGCAAAAATTTTTTGTTCAGTCTTTTAAGTTAAAATTATGCAATGATTTTTTTCAATTTCTTTTTCAATAAAAAATGAACTATTTATTCATTTGCTGAATATGACATTCCTCACATTAAACAAAGCTAATTCTTTCCTTATTTCAAATAGCTAAAAGACAGGAGAAGTTTTTTTCCCATATTGTTTTGTGTTACAAAAATTTAGCATAGTTTTAAATAAATAATTTTTACCCAATATTTAGGAGTAATGGAAGCTTACACTTATAAAAAAATATTTAAGCTATGAAGATAATAATTTTCATATGATAATCGATTTAAAGTTGTAGAGATGAATATTTTAATACAAAAAAAAAAAAAAAAAAATGGGCTTTCTTTCTCTTTTAACATTAGAAAATTAAAACAAGAAAAAAAAATTCATTGAAATTTCTTCAAAATTTAAAAATTAAATAATTTTTATGGTAAGAATTAATCACATTTTTAATAGATAATTGTAATATGGTTTAAAGGATCTATAATGAAAATGAAGAGATCAAAGGAGGATTAATAATTGACGAAAATGGTAACTGCAAAATCTGACCCATTTTTAAATATTTGACTTACACATAAAAGAAGAAAATAGGGTAGGAAAAGATGTATCTTCGACTATTTATTATGTTTACTCATGGCTGTGCACTTTTTAATTGTTTGTTAGAAATATTTAAATTTGAAGAAATTTCAAAATATGTGAAATTTGATTCAAATAATAGATTTGTAAAATATAAGTTAAGACAAACAAGATTAAATTAGATTAAATGTTAGTAAATTCTTTTAACAATTTCTAAACAGTTTGATTATTATCAAAGGTTTTTTTCTATTTGACAAAATATTTTATTAGTTTCTTCTACGTTATTTCAGTATCACTTACTTAATATCTATGTAATTCGCAATAATTTTTTTCGTCACTGTAGTAATTTTACACGTTTTTACACGTAATAATTTGTTACACGTAATATTTACTTGACTTATAATGTCTTCTTAATATATGCTTTATTTGTATTGTTGTCTTTGTGTATAACTAGTTTGCAATAAGGTTATTCTTAAAACGAAATTGGTTTTAAAATATTATAATTTTATTTTGAAATTAAATGATTTGAAATTAAGTAGTTGAAAGGTTGGGACATTATTTGATAACAATAATTTAGCTAATGCAGTAAACAAATGGAAAGAAAATAAACGACATTGAGATTTTAAATATTTTCGAGTTTTTTTTGAAGCTATAAATTTAGAAGGTTTATATCTTCATTTTTCGCAATTATTGATGCTTCAAGACTTTGAAGTTTGGAAATTTAGTTCCAAAAAAGGAAAAAAAAAGAAAGTTGAATACAGATTATTCATTATTATTCATATCAAAATATATTTTAGACAAAGTCGTTAATTTTTTTCGACATTATAAGGAACATTCATTAAAATTCGAATGAATTTAACATATTTAAAATTAAATGATGATTGTGCAAAATGAATTTGAAACAAAATAATTTTAAAAAAAATTAAATGAATTTGAAACAAAATAATTTTAAAAAAAAATTAAAAAAATAATTGCAAATTAATTGAAATAAGTCAAATAAAAATTAATTGTTTGAATTTTACTACGTAGTTGATTAAAAAATCAAATCTTTAGCAATTAATTAACTCATCAGATATTATATTTCAACACTTATTACCTTATTTTCTTAACATTTTCTTTACAAGAAATATTATAATTCAATTCCTTAAGAAAAAAAAAAAAAAAGTAGGAGAAAGCAAAGACTAAAGAATAAATAGCAATGCACTGATAAGAGCATTGAAAACCGGTTGTAACATATTTCATTCTGCAATGATCCTCCCTTAAATGAATGTATTTTTATTAAATTTAATTCAACTCAAATTTATATTTTTTTCAATTCATTAAAATTATATTTAGCTATTTATTAGCTTCTGAGCCTAATGAATTTTAGTTTTCTATTATATTACATTGTCATAAATACTGAGCTATTAATGGTTATAAATATTGAATTTAACTTTTTCAATTAGATTATATTTTATTAATTAACTTTGTAATAGTGCATTATCAGTTGCAAATGGTTTTCTGTTTTTTAAAAATGTAGTTTATTAAATTGATATTATTCTATTAAGAAATTGTACTATTTCAATCAGATCAATTATCTCATAGAAATTTGTAAATGAAAGTGTTACGTTTAATCGAAGGAATAATAGATTTGTTTTAAAAAAAGGCTGAAAATATTGTTTTTTTAAAAAAAAAAAAAAAAAAAACTAATTCGATTTTAGAAATGGATAGGACTTATTAGCATTGATTATCTCTGTCAAATGTGCAAACTTTTAATATGCAAGATTTCCAAGTTTCATCGAAAGGGCAAGAAAAAAAACAATGCAGTAAATTCGTTAATTCATTACTTTTAGTTATATTATTGATCAGAATTTGCTCAAATTACTCAAATGAATTTTGATTTATCTCTTTAAAAAAAAAAAAAAGGAAAAATTGTGAATAAAATATCGGAAATAATTATCAAAGTAATAATTTATAGAAAAAAATTTTTTTGATTAGTTATTTAATGAAAAAATAATACTATTCAGATGACAAAGATATGGAAGATATCAATGATGATCTATCATACATAAATTGTCGTCTTCTGTTACCATCATCAATCTTTGCAGTAATTAGCATTGCAGCTATTTTGGTTGGGACAATTCTAGGTCATTTCTATGACACTAAACGAAAAGAAGATGGAAGCATACCATCTTGGTTATTTGCATCAGGATGGTACTCAAAATATTGCACGGTTTGTTATTGAAATATTTGATAGAAATTTAAAATAAAATAAACAAAATAAAATTACTAACTCATTTAGACTTTGAATTGCAATATTAATGAAAAAAAAAAATAATAATATCTAAAGTGGTAAGTATTAAATAATAGTAAGTATTAAATTTAAATAAAAATTTCAAATAATTTCAAAAAAGTGCGATTAGAAATAATATTTTGCATAATATATTAGAGATACGATGTTAAAAAAAAAAAAAAAAAAAAAAGAAAAGACGGAATCACAAATGAAATGATTTATCAAAAAAACGATATTATAGAATTCGACATCAACTATGATACCTGACTGGTATCTTCCATCAGTACTTCGATTACTTGAACTTACTGTGCAAGCAAATGTATCATTTCGTATAGCAGTCTGTATTCCAACATCGCTTCGATTATTTCAAAGTTATTTAAATGCTATTATTAATGAGCGCTTTTGTCCACATACCAAGAAATGGTTATGGTATCGTTGGTGTAATATTGCTGTTCCAATCTTACTTTTATTTGAAATTTCCTTCTGTACACTTTTTACAATAAATACCATTCGTCAAGATTATCAAAGTATGCCTTTTTTTTTTTCTTTATTAGTGTTTTAGGCAATATTTTTAATCTAACTTTTATTTATCATATTTAATTATGAAAAGATAAAAAAAAAAAATTTTATGTTTGAAAAAGATGAATCATTATTATTATTATTATTTTATTCATCTTGTAAGCAATATTTTAGACATATTCCAAGTGTTAAAAATTTTTTCAAATTTCAGTTTTATATAAAATATCATTTAATTTATTCATAATCAGTGCTCTATTACATATGACCGCATGTACTGCAGTAACAATTTATCGAAGAAATGAAAAAAACCAGGTGACTTATTTTTGAAAAAACAAAGATTTTAAAAATCAGAAATTCGTGTAAAATTTTCAATTTTTATACAGAATTTTAGAATTTTCTTTCAGAAAATCTAATTTACATGCATTATTTTTAAACAGTAAAGTTTCTTCTTCTTGTTAATAGGTTCATTTATTTTAACACTAATTAGAGGATGACAATTAATTTCATAATATGTAAAATGCAGAATTTTAAATTTTTGACAGTCACAGTTTTCATTTCGTTGAAATAAATTAAAAAAAGAAAATTAATTATAATATAATAAAAATAATTACCATTGTTATCATTTTCATTCATTCGCTTTGCTCTAAAATTCAAAATAATAAACTTTATTATTATCTTTAGCTTTTACTGCTATCAAATTTTAGTAGATATCATATTTTCAGACAATTGATCAAATATCGATAATAGTCAAATTATTATGTTTGATTACATTTGGTATAGTAACACCACAAGTGACTATTTTCCATAATACATTTATCGATTCTCCCACATGTCACTATTATGGTTTGTTTGATTATAAACGTTTAATTAGCAATTAACCTATGAAATAATCAAACAAATAATAAGCTACTAGCTTAATTATTTAACTTAATTGAGTAACCTGGTTAGAAAAATTAACAACGAAATGATTGACAATTTAAAATTAGGTATTGCTAACTGTTTCATCCTTAATATAAATAAAGTTTGTGAATGACATATTAAATTGAAATGATCTGAAACGAGCTAATATCAATTTTGTTAGCCATTCTGTTAAATACTTTGATTATCAAAGTATGCTTATTTACACTAAGTAAAATGATAAAGTGGCAGATTGCTCACATAAAATAAGAGAGTGAAAATGAAATACTATGATTTGTACTTAATTTAATTTAGTACGAATTTATTTCGATCCTTTTTACTTTAAAATCTTTTAAAATCAAATGATAAATTTTAATTTCAGTTATTTTATTTTCAGTGCCACCTTATCAGGCCTTATGCGAATACATATTAATTATTTCCAATGCTTTGTTTCATCTAACAATTATCACCGATACACGAAACTTGAGGTTTTTGTACTTCTTCAAATAGCAAAATCATAATTAATTTAAAAAAAAAAAAAAGTTTGGCGAAGAATTTCAGCTGTATTTTTACTCAAAAACTAATTTTAAATGATAAAAAAGGATGTTGAAATATTTGTTTATTATTTCAAACTTATTAATCTTTTATATTCAGGTTTCTTATTTATCCACGCACATGTTCCGGTGAATGCGAACCAGTAAATCCTGAGAATTTTCGAAAAGGAGGCAAATTCGAGCACTGTCGTTCACAATATCATTTAAATAAGAAAAAGTTGATGAATAATATGAAAATGAAAGAAACTACATTTTAGCATACATTTAAAATTACTATTCCGGTGTATTCTTTTCTTGAAATATTTTTATTTCGAAAAGGAAACATTTAGGATAATAAATGAATTCATTCGTCATTACATAAAGAAAATAACTTTTGTGTATATATTTCTTTATTATTATGCAACAATTTAATTTCAACTGCTTTTCCAGATAACACTATCATTTAAATTATATTAATTATCAATATGTCCTTATGCAATATTTGATTATACTTCAATTTTTCATGCTTTGACGCGAAACAAATATATTTTCAATATAGTTTTGATTAGCTCTTATTATCTGTTAGGTAAAAAAAACATATTGCTGATTATTTACAATCATATTTACATAATTTGTCCACCAAAATAAATTTCTATTAGTAGTGCGATATGGAATTTGCATTTTAAATTTAATAAAAATTAGAAGATTTTTGGGGTTAAAAATTTTTAGAAATAAGTCGAAAAATTACTCTAGATTCTTTCCGATATTTTATTTTTCCTTAATAATAGTGAAGTGATACCAAAAATTAGTTGTCACATATCGTCGAATTAAAATTGCTCGAGTCAAATAAATTAATTAACAAAGCAATGAATGTTTCCTTTCCTTCATTGTATATCATTTTAAACTATGGTAGATAAATGCAAAATAAAAGCTAAAATTAATTGCACTGAAGTAAAAATGTTGACAACAACAAATTCAGTCTTTCAGTTTTATTCAACAATAAATATCATCAAATTTTATGAAATTAATATATGAGCATAAATAAGCTCAATGCTCCAATAGGCCAGTATAGCCGATAAATTGGCCATAATTGCGAGGTAAAGCACTTCTAATAACATTGACCACAACAGGTATACCATCATTACTGCAATAAAAAAAAAAAATTATGCGATACAAGGAATGATATTTTTACTTACAAAAAAGTCAAAGAAGTTAAACTTACTTCCACGGTAGCATTGATGCATTAATATATCGGTTAAGTAGCAATGACATAAGAATATCTCTCTCCTCTTCCGTAATATTATCCCAAGATAAGCCTTCAATGGAAAGAGCTTCATCATATCTTTGCTGCTGGAGAAAATTATTGTTGTCATTAACGTTGTTGATATTGCCATCGTCACCATTAACATTATTGTCACCATTATCGTTTATGTTACCGTCATCACCATCTTCATGATTTAAGTTATTTCTGTTAATGCTCTGAAAATTTTTGAATAAACTATAATTTTAAAGATGGTATAAGATTTAGTTCCATTTTATTGAAAATTCCTTGAGAAAATTTTTATTGTTTACTTTTTTTTCAATGTGATCAATATATTTGATTGGTATAAGGTTCATAAAAATTACCGGAGCACATCTTTGCGACATTGCTAGTAATGCTAGTGCACCGATAATGCAAAAAGATAATGGTGATATGAAAAGTGGAAATTGTGCGCTTCTCATCGTTCCGAAATTCGATACCTTAATGTTTTGACTTAATGAAAGAAAAGATTGGAATTTCAAATATAATTTGTAATTTAATAACTTAATGATTGAAATTTAGTGTGATTCGATGTCCCTTTTAGGCTAACTTGAAAGGACTGATAAATAAAATTTGTAACAATTTTGACATTACGCTAATTTGGACACTAAGGCTTACTAATTGCTTTGTAGAAATAAAAAAAATGAGCAAAAAAAAAAAATTTGCTGCACAGAAAAATGTTAATTTGGTCTTTTTTTCTTTTTTTTGAGCTAAATAATCTCTACTAAATGCAAATGCTACAACAAAAAAGTTTTTTCTTTTTTTTTTTTTGTAATGAATAAACAGCAAAGTTGTTATAACTTTTGATCAATGTCATTTCTATTGGAAAGAACAAAAGATTTTATTGTTAAATTTTTGTTGAATTGTCTCTATTGGAAACATGGAATGGTCGTTTAACATGCCAATCATTTTATTCTACTCAAACACATAATAAATATTTTTTTTAAATGGCAATGAATTTTTTAATTTGATAGCGAACTTTAGTGAATTTGTAACAATGATCAGTTATTCTCCATAATTTCATACAAATTAACTGGTAAATAGACTTTTTCTCGAAAAAAATTCCAAATTTATTTTTTATCGTGTTTTTTTTTTTTTTGAAAACAATTTTTTAAAAAAGTTGGGATAACGAAATTGTGCATTCTTGGAATTATTTAGCATTTTTTATTTTATTTATTTATTTTTTTTTTTTTTGAAATTATAATGCGTTTGACAAAACAAAGATTATTTAACTTAAAAGAGAAACAAAATTGATTTCAAATTCACTTTATATTTGATAAGTAAAACAACTGAGAAGTTTTAATGCGTCTATCAGCGTGAAAATTTACCAGTGCTTTTCCGTTAGACTGAAAAGTAGCAACTTCAAAGTTTATCAGTTCAAATTATCACTCATTAAAATATATAATGACGTTTATATTTTAATCACAATTTCTTCTTTCATCAAGGGAATCAATAAGCGCTCCGCAACAATGACAAATGCGCAAATCTTATTTTTTACGTCACCATTACTGCTCTACGTTCTTAGCACACTGATATTGTTAGCAACACCTCAGAGATTGATTCCGGTAATTTTTGTAACTTCAAATCGTTACAATGACTGTAGTGAATGAGTCGTATAAGACAAAACATTTTGGTTTTAAATGAAAAAATATTTTAAAAAAGCAGAAATTCACTGAAAATTTTTTATGCATCTGACGACGATTTGGGCAAAAACGATGAAATTCCCAATCAAGAAAACGTGGGTGGATTTGATGAAAACATTGAATTTATGCAACAAGATATTATTTCTATTGAAAGTTCATCGTGGAATACCGCCACAGATGATGAAAGAACTGTGCTAGACGGACTTTTAGAGGAAGGATATATCAATGAAACAATGCTACCATGGAAGTAAGTTTTTGTGAAGTTTATTGTTGAATAAAATTGAAATTTGTTATTGTCAACATAAAACGATTTTTGCTTCACTGCGATTCCATGTAAGTAAACTGTTGACGCTGTCTTGTTTGCATTGCTTAATGATACCTTTGTTGCAGCAGTGGTCGACCACTTCTGATTAAAGTTTATTGGGGAGCTAGTGTTGATGAAATATTCGCCCTTGAAGTCTTGTAATAATTCTGTAAAATTCTGTGACGTTTGTTGATGAATAAAACTAAAATTTGTTATTTACACTATTTTTGACATAAAATGGTTTTTGCTTCAGTGCGATTGATTTCAATGTCCATTTTTCAGTCACTCAAATAATTGAGAAAGTGGACCATTTCAAGCCGATGCAATATCCAATTAAAATGCTTTTTAGCTGAAAGGGAGATATGTTTATCGTCGGAATTATACGTAATACAATGTAAGCTCCGCTGCAAATTTAGCAAGAACCGTCATCACAGAAATTTTTTTCTTTTAAAAAATTTTAGAATTTGTAACTAAATTCATCATGTTTTCATTTTTCATTTCGACAAAAAGAATTGGCAAGCCTCATTGTTCAGATTAGCAAAATATTAAAAAATTTTTTTTTTGCAAAACTAAATTACCAGTTTGTTAGGCTGAAAAATAACGCTTTAGTGGCTCGTCGAACTTAAAACGTCCCACAACAAAGAAAAGTGGAATTTTTTTTCTTTTCGATCAGTACTTTTTTTTTTTGAATTCTCTATAAATTCATATTATTAGCAACATCTCTGATTTGTGATAATTTTTGTGAAATCATTTGTTATCGTGATCGTATTGAATGAGACGTTAAAAATGAGACCTTTCGAGAATTCTCAAGAAAAGAAAAGTTTATGTAAATTTTCTCAGAACTTTAACGTATACGACTTAGTCATTGGGAATAATGATAACGTTAGCACAAACCATGTGGCATTAACGATGACGACTCTATCCTTTAAAATTTGCAAAATTAATTGCTAAAAAATTATTCCAAGCAATTCACATTCTTTCTATCTTTTCGTTCACTGCAAATTTGTTTTACGTTGCTAAATTTAAAATTTACACAAAAAAATGCATTCAAATAAAAAAACGAAAAACCATGAAACAGAAAAGAAAGCATTAGCAAATACAAAGAGAAGCATGAAATCAAGAAATAAAACTATGGTTGAAGTAATGAAACGAGAATTAGATTGATCAAAACTACTATTTTCAAATTTCAACTCTACTTTTGGTTTTTAAAAAATTTCTTAATTTTAGAGCATCATGCACATATATAAAGCACATTAAATATATGTTAATTAAGAATTACGGAATCATTCTGAAACACATATGCAATATGCTGATACATATTTAAACTTAACATATGCGCATGATATATACTTAAATATAATGCACGATTATATATGTATCATTATAACAAATCTCAATTTTATTCAGTAATAAATGTCACAGAATTTTACAACATTAAGTTTCTTACAAGACTTCAAAGTCGACAAATTCACCAGCATTGTGAGCCTCAGATCCCCAAATAATTTTAATCAGAAGTGGTTGACCACTGCTGCAACAAAACTATCATTAAGCAATGCAAATAAGACAGCGTTCACAGTTTACTTACATGGAATCGTAGTGAAGCAAAAATCGTTTTATGTTGACAATAACAAATTTCAATTATATTCAACAAAAAATGTCGCAGAAACTTACTTCCACGGTAGCATTGTCTCATTAATGTATCCGAACTCTAAAAGACCGCTTAGCACAATTCTGTCATTTTGTGTGATATTATCCAACGATGAACTTTCAATAGAAATAATATCTTGTTGCATAAATTCAATGTTTTCATCAAATTCATCCGTGTTTTCTTGACTGGGAATTTCATCGTTTTCGCCCAAGTCGTCGTCAAATTCATAAAATATTCCCAGTGAATTTCTGCTTTTTTTTTTTTTTTTTAATTTTTTCATTTAAAACCATAATGTTTCGTCTTATACGACTCACTCACTACAATCTGTCGAAAAACCGAAAAAATTTTATTACATGCTGCTTAGAATAACGCTAATAATTCATCGCTATAAACCAATTCGTTATTCCTTTGTTATATCCCATTTTTTTTTTTGAAACAATGAATTCTTTATCTAAACCTCAAATAGTAAATGTACATCTGTCTTCATTGTGAATGTTAATCTGCTAAGCCAGCCCCCACTTCCTACATCTCTAAAAATCTTCTCTAAGCAGTTAATAAAAAAGAAAAGATCGGTGATAGTCTTCTCTTCCCCCCTCTTCAATAGTACCATTCATTCTTCGCTATTTCAATTATTCGACTGCATATTGTATCGATTCACATTTATAAAGAAAATAAATCATACCTGAGTCGATCTCGCTCGCAGATAAGAAGCAAAAGTTTCAGTTCAAGTTCTACAAACTGAACTTAACTAACCTAAATCATCTCCTCTTCTGACGAAAAAGTTCAAATTCACGACACGATCCAATGATCCAATGATCGTGTCGTGAATTTGATATGGAATTATGAAATTACCGATATGGAATTACAAAAATTACCGGAATTGATCTCTGAGGTGTTGCTAATAATATGAATGTGCTAAGAACGCAGAGCAGTAACGGTGACGTGAAAAATGGGAGTTGCGCACTTGTCATTGTTGCGGAATGTTTATGGATTCCTTAATGAAAGAAGTTTAATGAGTGGTAATTTAAACTGATAGACTTTGACGTTTCTATTTTTCAGTCTAACGGCAAAACACTGATAAATTATATTTCATGAATTGCATTATCACACCGATTGACACAATACAGCTTGTCGATTGTTTTATTTAATAATACTTATTAAATATGCATTGAATTTGAAATCAATTTCGTTCCTCTTTTTAGCTAACTAATCCTTATTTTGTCTAAATATGCTATAATTTTAAAAAATAAGTAAATATGCAAAAATAAAAGTTATGATGGTTTTTGTCAAATAATTTCGAGAATAAATGCGGAATTTCCCATTCCTAAATTCTTTTTTAAATTGTTTAAGAATTCAAGCGAAAAGGTTACGAGATTCTGAAAGCGATAAAAAATGAATTTGAAAATTTTTTGACAAAAAACTCTACTTATCAGTTAATTTATATGAAATTATGCAGGTTATCACCAGAATTCATTTAAAAATTTTATCATGTTCTGAATAGAATAGAAGGATTTACATGTCAAACAATGATTCCATGTTTCAATAGAGACAATTCAACAAAAAAATAATAATTTTTTTTATTTCCACTAAAGATTACAATAGACAAAAATTCATGGCAACTTTGCTGTTTAAAAAAAAAAAAAAAAAAATACATGTCTCCCTTACTACAAGGGAATGCATAGAGAAGTATATAAATGTTGGAATGTATATAAAGGTAACTTACATTTGATATATGTGCCAGGTACTATTGAAAAATAGCTGAAATAGGCTTGAAATGATCCACTTTCTCAGTTATTTGAATGATTGCAAAATGGAAATTGAAATCAATCGTACTGAAGCAAAAACCATTTTATGTTGAGAATATTGACAATAACAAATTTCAATTTTATTCAACAATAACCGCCTTACTTCAACTTACTAACTTAGTTCCACGATAGCATTGTTTCATTGATTTATTCTTTCTATAAAAATCCGTCTAGCACATCTGAATCATCTGAACAGCACAAAGTGTTAAAAACTAACAAATTAATAAAAATTGCTCAAACAGTTTCGACAGATTTAATTTAAATTAATCTAATGAAATTAACTTAGCATTTTGCTAAATTTATCTGAAAAAATTGTCCTTCTTGACCGTAATTTTTTGTTAATAACTAAGTTTCATTACCGTCTTTAAATGATTTCATTTTAAATTGATAAATTTATGTATGTCAAAACACATTAATTAATTGTTGAAGCTGAAATATTTCAACCCAACTTATATAAAGAGTAAAGATCATCTAAAGTTATAGTTTTACAAATGATTCGTTATATTTACATTGTCTACAAGTGCAGTGTGTTATTAGGATTACAGTAAAAGTGACGAAATAATCAAAAAGAATATGCGATTATTACTTTAATTACAAAGGTAAAGAAGTGACCATCGGTGATCACCGGAAATAATCACAAAAGTAAAGCACTGATCATTGGCGATCACTCGAAATAATCAGAAAAGTAAAGCACTGATCATTGGCGATCACTGGAAATAATCACAAAAGTAAAGCACTGATCATTGGCGATCACTGGAAATAATCACAAAAGTAAAGCACTGATCACTGGAGACATTATAACAGCTTTAATGCCATCAAACAGAAAATTCCTTTGTTCTACTTATCGTGAAATCACTCACAGGCAGTATTACTGAATGAGAGAGCTTTTGGTGTGGATTTTGATGTCATGCACGTTTCGGTGTTCCCTAACTTATACATTGATATTTTTGTATTTTACATATTTAAGATTTATTGACCTTTTAATTGTAGCTGTAAGCAAAACATTTATACAATAAAAATATTCTCATTTACTTAAAATTATTATTAAAGATCGCACAACAATCGATCGAAAACATTCGTTGTTTTTTTTTTTTTTTCCTCTCTTCCTTATTATTTATACCTAAATATTGGCTATTAGTGACAAAACAGTCTGTGAAATCCGTTCTATTTATTATCTACATTTCGTTTTTCGTTTTTTATAGATTATTTAGCTTTCAGTGTCATTAGTCCTCGTTTTTATTTCTGACCTCTTTCCTTTTTTTTTTTCTTTTTGTTTTTTTGTGATAGTTTTAACTGCAACAGGTGTGTTTTTACTCATGGTTATATGCTTAAAGTTTTTTACTCTGATTTCTTTGAAGATTTTGTTTTTGAAATTTCGAAATTTTTTTGCAATAACTTGATTTTTTTTTCGTAATTTTCTATTAAATTAGCTATTTTTTTTTTAAAACAATAACACTACTAATATCTTCCTTGATTAATAACTCACCTTTTCTTTCTTTTTATCACTGATTTCACTTTTGCATGTTTTTCTTGAAAAAAATTTTATTTTCATACCATTTTGCATTTGTTTATTATATTTGTCATTTTAAGAAATCTATTTCTTTTACATTTTTTGTAAACTTCGCTCATTTCATGCCTCTTGTTGACTAAATCTTAATTCTCTTTTCACTTTTTATTCCTTCCTTTTTTTAATTTTTTAAAGCATGTCTCCATATTAACGTTCAATTTTAATCATTTCTTTTTATTATTTGCATGTTTTTTTTTTTTTTTTTTTTGTTACTGTTACTTACTTAGTTTAATTGTGTGTATTTTTGACGAAAATACTGATGGTTAGACATGAAGAACCACCACGCGAGCATTAGTGCAGATGGCTATAAAAACATGTATGTTAAGCAAAATTATAAAGTACCATACATTTTTCCAGTATTGAATGATTCAAATCTAAATGAATCTGAATGCAAGTAGCAGCAAGTGATACAAACAAAGGAAACCAAAATTGTATGACAGCATACTTTGAAGCATGAAAGCACGTCAAAAAAAAATTGATAAAATTATCTGTCATTTACCACTATTTGCCATCAATTGCTCTTTTTTCTACCGCTTTCTACTGCCACTTCCGAATTTTCTATGTCAATTTGAAACAAACAAAATTCATTTGTTGATGTGCAGAATATAGTTTGAAATTAAAAATTCGTCCCGTAAATAAGTTAGTAATTGTTACAGAATTATTGTGGTATATACGAAACACATACGCAACATACTGATAAATATTTAAACCTAACATATGCGCATGATATATACTTAAATATAATGCAGGATTATATATGTGTTATTATAACAAATCTCAATTTTATTCAGCAACAAATGTCACAGAATTTTACAACATTAAGTTTCATGTAAGATTTCAAAATCGATAAGTTGAGCAACATTGTCAGCCCTAACTGCCCAAAAAACTCGAATCAGAAGTGGTCGACCACTGCTGCAACAAAAGTATCATTAAGCAATGCAAATAAGAAGCGTCAACAGTTTACTTACATGGAATCGCAGTGAAGCAAAAACCATTTTATATTGACAATAACAAATTTCAATTTTATTCGACAACAACCGTTACAGAAACTTACTTCCATGGTAGCATTGTTTCATTGATATATCCTTCCCCTAAGAGTCCGTTTAGCACAATTCTATCAATCTGTGTGGTAGTATTCCACGATGAACTTTCAATAGAAATGATACCATCTCGCATAACTTCAGTGTTTTCATCAAATTCATCCATGTTTTCTTGATTGGGAATTTCATCGTTTTCGCCCAAGTCGTCGTCAAATGCATAAAAAATTTTCGGTGAATTTCTGCTTTTTTTTAAATTTCTGCTTTTTAACTTTTTTTAAAATTAAAACCAAATTATAACAATATAAAAATAAAAATTACCGGAATCAATCTCAGAGGTGTTGCTAACAATATCAGTGTGCTGAGAACGTAGAGCAGTAATGGTGACGTAAAAAATGAGAATTGCGCACTTGTCATTGTTGCAGAGCTCTTATTGATTCCTTAATGAAAGAAGAAATTGTGATTGAAATATAAACGCCATTCTATATTTTAATGAGTGATAATTTAAACTGATAAACTTTGAAGTCGCTATTCTTAAATTAAATTATCATGAATCTCAGTATCTTGTTGATTTGAGTATTATTGATTTGCAAAAATGAAATAATTTTACGAAATGCACATTAATATACACTGAATTCGAGATTAGTTTCGTCTCACTTTTATCTGAATAAACTTTATTCTATGCAAATAGTTCATAATCCTAAAAAAAAAAATTGTTTGTTAAACTTTTGCTAAATCTTTACAAATGAAAGAAGAGATTGTGATAACATATATTTTAATGAGTGATAATTTAAACTGATAAACTCTGACGTTTCTGTTTTTCAGTCTAACAGCAAAGCACTGATAAATTATATTTTATGAATTCCATTACCACACCATCAGTTGTTTTGTAGAAAAATCCTTACTAAATATGCAGTGAATTTAAAATCAATTTCGTTCCTCTTTTTAGCTAACTAATCCTTATTTTGTCCAAATATGCTATAATTAAAAAAATATGCAAGAAATAAAAATCAAATAATTTCGAGAATAAATGCAGAATTTCCCATTCCTAAATTCTTTTTTAAATTGTTTAAGAATTCAAGCGAAAAGGTTACGAGGTTCTGAAAGCGATAAAAAATGAATTTGAAAATTTTTTGACAAAAAACTCTACTTATCAGTTAATTTATATGAAATTATGCAGGTTATCACCAGAATTCATTTAAAAATTTTATCATGTTCTGAATAGAATAGAAGGATTTACATGTCAAACAATGATTCCATGTTTCAATAGAGACAATTCAACAAAAAAATAACAATAATTTTTTTTATTTCCACTAAAGATTACAATAGACAAAAATTCATGGCAACTTTGCTGTTTAAAAAAAAAAAAAAAAAAATACATGTCTCCCTTACTAGAAGGGAATGCATAGAGAAGTATATAAATGTTGGAATGTATATAAAGGTAACTTAGATTTGATATATGTGCCAAGTATTTTTGGAAAATAGCCGAAAATATTTGGTTAAAAAGCACTTTAATTGGATATTACATCGACTTGAAATGATCCACTTTCTCAGTTATTTGAATGATTGCAAAATGGAAATTGAAATCAATCGTACTGAAGCAAAAACCATTTTATGTTGAGAATATTGACAATAACAAATTTCAGTTTTATTCAACAAACGTCACAGAATTATCACAAGATTTCAAGGCCGACAATTTCACCACTGTTGTAAGCTTCAGTACCCCAAATAAATCTAACCAGAAGTGGTATACCACTACTGCAACAAAAGTTTTTATTTAAACGGTGCAAACAAAACAGCGTCAAAGTTTACTTGCATGAAAATATTGAAGGTAAACTTACTTCCATGGTAGCATTGTTTCATTGATATATCCTTCCTCCAAAAGTCCGTCTAGCACAGTTCTTTCATCATCTGTGGCATTAATCCATGATGAACTTTCAATAGAAATAATATCTTGTTGCATAAATTCAATGTTTTCATCAAATCCACCCACGTTTTCTTGATTGGGAATTTCATCGTTTTCGCCCAATTCGTCGTCAGATGCATAAAAAATTTTCGGTGAATTTCTGCTTTTTTTTAAATTTCTGCTTTTTAAATTTTTTTAAAATTAAAACAAATTATAACAATATAAAAATAAAAATTACCGGAATCAATCTCTGAGGTGTTGCTAATAATATGAATGTGCTAAGAACGTAGAGCAGTAATGGTGACGTAAAAAATGAGAATTGCGCACTTGTCATTGTTGCAGAGCTCTTATTGATTCCTTAATGAAAGAAGAAATTGTGATTGAAATATAAACGCGATTCTATATTTTAATGAGTGATAATTTAAACTGATAAACTTTGAAGTCGCTATTCTTAAATTAAATTATCATGAATCTCAGTATCTTGTTGATTTGAGTATTATTGATTTGCAAAAATGAAATAATTTTACGAAATGCACATTAATATACACTGAATTCGAGATTAGTTTCGTCTCACTTTTATCTGAATAAACTTTATTCTATGCAAATAGTTCATAATCCTAAAAAAAAAAATTTTTTGTTAAACTTTTGCTAAATCTATACAAAAGCAATGACTTTCGGTAGGTCTACATTATGATAATTTTTGCCGCGGCAAGAGAACAATTAGACATATCAAAAAGTTTGAAATTTCACTTGAGCTATCTTATTGATAAACGTTAAACTTAAACTTGTGACGTGACGTATCCTTCACTGGATGACTGCTAAATACTTAAAGTACCATTTCATAAAAAATTTATCTGTGATTTATCCATTTATCTTAATCGAATTCTTTGTATAAATTTCGAAATATATTGGTAATTTTTCTCCATTAAGCCCCGTTTGTTTCCTTTTTAATTATCATTAATTTAATTAGCACCGCTCCGATTATAGGCAAAGTATTTCGATGCCGAATGATTTTAAAGGTCTCCTCAATGAAAGTGAGAAATAATATTATCTTCGGTAGTAAATTAGCATTCCCTTAGAAAATCAATTCAAATAGAAATACAGTTATGCAAACTTCCAAAATAAATGGTGAATTAATTTGAAAATTTTTTAAAGCATACTTAATCAGATAATTTCAATGAAAATTCGAGTAACATATTAAGTCGGGGAACAAAATTACGGGATAATCTTTGAAATCAAAAACACATAACAATCAAAACTTGCATTACTAATTTTCCTAAAATCATCAGTCTTTTTTACTAGATTGGAAATTTACCAGCACTAATCATCAGAAAAATTTTTTTCAATCCTTTTTCTTCATAGAGTAAAGATTATTTAGCTTAAATAAAAGGCGAAATTGATTGTAAATTCACCATATATTTGCTTTGTATTTCGTAAATTTATTTCATTATTTCATTTTTACTTTTGTAAAACAATATTAATCAAAATATTGAGTGAATTTAGCAGAATATTAACTAAACTTCAATGTCTATCAAACTTAGATTTTATTAATTTTATATCTTAACTTATATATATTCTTGCAATTTCTTTTTTTCATTTTAAAGCATTAATAAACGTTCCATAACGATGAAAAGCGCTCGAGTTCTATTTTTTGCGCCATCGCTACCGTTTTGCATTCTCAGCACATTCACATTATTAGCAACATCACAGAAATTACTTCGGGTATTTTTTTATGAATTCATATTTTTATAAACATTGAATGAGAACTAAAAGACGGACAGTTACAAGTTTTTAACAATTTTTGTGACAAAAAAAAAAAAGGAATTCATGCAAGATTTCTTAGGACATTGGCATTTACGATTTCTATGACTTAGACATTAACAATGACTTAGACGACAACAAATATTTTGACGTTGACATAAATAGTGACATAGTTGGAATTAACGATTATATTAGCGATAACATCAGCTACAACGATGACATGCATCTCAATAGCTCGGTAATTATTGTCAATTTACATTAATTTTCATGAATTTATTTGTTTATCTTTCAAAGAATGTTTTGGATTGACAATTTCCCGGGTTGTCAAGATCGTCCTTTGGTAAATTCTAATTAATGGTGAGTACCTCGACCATATGAATTATTTGTATTATTTGCTTAGTACTACCTAATAATTATTCCGTTGCAGAAGCGATTAATCTCTTATGATTAGACTTATTTGAAGAACTATGGTTAACTGAAGAAGTTTAATTCCATTGATAGATTGTTTAAGAAATTTTAGCTGTTTATGTGTGTTAATTGCATAAAAGTGATTTTTATCGTTGAATATAATTGATTGCATTGTTTATTATTTATAGTTTCATCCACATTTTTTGTCAGTAAATAAACTGGAATGAATTCGATAAGCTATCAAATTAATTAAATTCCTTTTAGTAATCTCTATTACTTGATCGTACACACTTAGTGCCAACACATTCTCCAAACTATAAATTTAAAAGAAATGTAGAGTTGAAAGAAAACACAAATTTATTAGCACCAGACTTAATAGCATAAGACTATTTATGATTCAGTGTTATTTTATACGCTAAAGGAATTCAAAAATTTTGATGATGTTAAGTAAAAGAATATAGCAAATTTAGCTCCAATGTTTTATCTGATGAATTAATTATTTGATAATTTCAAACGAAATAATCAAAGTGAAATTAATGAATTTATGATATCTATAGATGGAATGCCAATAAAATATGAAATTTCATTATGAATTATATAAGCTTGTATGCACATCAAAAATTATGACTTAAAAAATAATAGAAGGAACAAATAAGAGAAAATAATAGATGTTGAAGTAAATTAAGAATATAGGAATAAAGGAGAGAGAAAGGGAATCATTCTGGAGGAAAAAAAAAACTTTTATAGTAAGATTTTATGACCTCTTTGATGCAAATTTTCCTATTAGTGTATATAAATGAGTACCAGTGATATTTGCTAAATTAAAGCATTTTTAAAGTATGTTAATGAATTTAGGATGGAATAGAAAATTTGAATATTTTGTATTCTTTTTCGAATTAATTATATATAATAAATGGAAATAGAAATATTTCATCTTCATTTATCTGATTTACAATAATTCGAATAGCAAAATTAGCAAAAGCCAACAAATTTTTGCATGGAACTGTGCAAAGTGTCCAGTTAAAAAAGAATTTCCACGACAATCATTGCAATTTCGTGAATTAAATACAGTTTAAATATATATAATATATGCAATAACTATTGTAATAGAATAATAAAAAAAACTGGAACTGATATTTGAGACAGCTTTCGAAATTACAGGTTGAATTACTGTCCCAGTATTTTTCCTAGCTCTGAATTGTATTTATTATAGCATTTAGTATTCAAACTGGAAAATGTGAAAATTGCATTAGCAATCAACTGGCTTACGGTATAAATTGAGAATGACAATTTTATTAAATTTCCTCATTTAAATAACACAGTATTATTCGCCTCGAACATAACAATTCATTAATATATTTATTGGCAGAGTTTCAATGCACAAATTCTAGATATAAATCTTCAAGAAAATTTCTAAATCATCTGAAACTCATAAATTGAAAAAATATTACACTTGGTGAGTCTAAAAAAATTCTGAATTATTGGAATAATCAATAAAAAAAAAAAATTGACGAAACAAACAATTCATAGTTCATTATCGATAGTTTCAATCACAACCGGAAAACATCACTGAAATTAAGCCATAATCACAATTTCA